CGTGGGAACTTTCTGGGCAAGCAGCTTGCCCAGAATCTTCCCATGGGGGGTGCCATTTATGGAAAGTTGGCAAAGAGCTGAAAACTGTATAGTTCCCAGCTCCCATTTGTAGTGGCTTCACAGGAGGTTGAGAAGGTTACCCTTCTTCTCAACTCATTTCCTGTGAAGGCTGGGGCTAGCCCCCTCAGTGGGTTTGAGGATCTTGGACTGGGACTAGATACCCCAGCGACTAGGAGGATCCCCCTGGGCCCATCATGGAACAAGGGCCAGGCCCTGACAACTTCATGAGGCCAGAGGCCCCAAACACCTCGCTGGTAGACATTTTGGAGTTGTTAAATGCTCCAAGATGATGAAGGAAGTATCTGCAGCAATTTTAGCCTGTGCAGACTGCAAGGAGAAGTCACTCATACCACTGTTTGATGGCATCAGGTTGATATGGGCTGAGGGGTATACAAGTAAGCCAACAGTACCCTTCTAAACATAAACCCATACCTGAAAGCCTTTATTCCATCATAAAAGTTTCTCATCGCTAATCCGGCATCCTCTGCAAGGGGCAGGCCCATAGCTTTGACCATTTCCACAATCATTGGAGAGCTAGTAATAGCAATAGTTGAGTCTCAAGGGAAAAGTGTGTCATCTGCTATCAATCCCACTACAGCCACACCAATGGGGTGAATGGTGCTGAGTGTGGCAAGCTACCACAAAGCCTTAGTTGAACCAAATCTAGTAGTCCCTAGAATCCTGTCCACTGTACCTGAGTGGCGTACTTTCTGGTTACCTTCTGCAACAGATAGAGGCCTTTGTTGGGTTTAGTATCCTTTTCATCCTTTGACAAAACAATGTCTCCACAATGTATCAGGACTTTTTCATAAATGCATTCACTTCTGCCTCACAATTGGGGTAGTGCTTCTCAACAGCTTCTTGGTGTGATTTACGCAGCCTTGCAGCCTCTTGACTATCAATTCCAGCTGGGAAACAATTAGTCCCAAATATGGGCTGTGTCAGAGTCTGGAGATTATTGTCAGAGTTGGAAGTATCGTCAGAGACAGATAGAAGACGGATTGGGTTCTGTCTGAGTTGAGGTCAGAGGTGATGCAGAGGTCTGTTGGAGCGCTGAAGGAGAGAACGAAGGAAGGTCAGTTGGGAGGTTCAAACGAGACCACCACCAAGCTGTTCCCTGGTTCTTTAGTTAGGATGGGGAAGTGTACTGGTGTTATTTATTGTAAATATAGTACCAATCCGAGTGTTTTGGCTAATTCTATTTTTATGGGTTAGTTTTAAAGTTCCTGGGAATTGACTTACAGATAAACCGAGCCCTGCGGAGCTGTTTCTTTATTGGAATTTATTAATTTGTCTAGGTGTAATTCTGTGTAGCGTTGTTTAATTTGGATTTAAACTTGAATTTAATCTTCTACTTGGTGAAGTTTCAAAGATTCTATTCAGTTAATGAATTTGGATTGTATCTGGAGTGTCCCTTGGGTTTATTTTATTTTTGTCTTATTTTATTGCTTGTTTTAACAGTAGCAAGATAACTGTTTTGTGTTTACACTTTGAAATCTGGAGTGTTAACCAGCTCTCCTGTTGAAATATCTACTTAATATTTCTCTCCTTGATTGCTGCCTTTTACTACAGTGGCAATCTTAACTGTATATCACTTTTTCGCACTGGAGTGACAACCAGAAATGCTTGAGAAAAATAATACTCTATTTTCTTACTTCTCTAAGGGGGGCAAAAAGTCGCAGAAAGGGTCTCCCTTTTATACTCCTTGGGTCGCCTTCCTTTTTCACGCTCTACCTTCTATTTACAGGATTTATTTACAGTGTATTTGTCTCAAACTAAATAAAAAATGAAATTTTCACGCTATAGTTCTACTGCGCTTTTGCTGCGCTGAACTGTGGTTCTACTGCAGTCAGACTGCACCTAGAATCCTTATTGTCCTCCCTCACCTAAGCTATTTTAATGGTTAATTAGAACTTGGCTGTGCTGCATTTGCCGCAGTTACCTATTGCAAATTCCCTATATATACCATTAAATTTGCTATGACTCGATGATTCTGAATTCAAACTTCGCATTACTATGCGTACGGCTGTGCTGAGACCTTCAGCTGATTTATTCCATTTTTATTTAGTGACATTTAGTTAAAATGAGACTGAAATGGTAAATGAGTGAATTATTCTTCAGGTTTAAAACTGAAAGAAAAAGTTGCTAGTAGTCAAGAATTACTCAAACAAATGTGTTATAGCTCTCCACCTCATTAGAATATCGTTCCCTAAAATTCCTGCCATGGTCCGTCATAGTTTAGTGGTTTTCGTGAATTTCGTTCATATTCCCTGATTCCCCTTTGTATTATCACATCCTAATCCTCCATATGTATTGTTCGTTGTTATAGTAGGTCGTCCTTGAAGATATCATATTTTTATGTATTTTATTTAGGACTCTGGACCTCTTGAAGCTGTTTTCCCGCGCGTTTTCAGGTTTCTAACTTCATGTCCCTATATCTCATTCATTTCTGGATGTTTTCTCACGTCTTTGGTATCATAAATTTTCATTTATTCCCACCTTTCCAATGGTACTAAGGTTGTGTCCTATTTCCTGGTATTCGTTGAGTTAGAAAAAGTTCGCGCACACATTCGGTAATCACATGCGTCATTCCCATAGTCGTTCGTATGCGGGCGCCATTTCTGTTCAATTGTTCGGGATTTATGATATGCACGGGTTTTTATTTCTTTCATATGGGCTTCTGTGATTTATTTCAGATTTTTCCCTCATGATCTAAGGTTGTTTTGCACTTTCCGTGCTTTGTTTTGACTGGGCTCTTCCTTATTTGGACGGAAATTGGTCTTCGCAATCTGCGGATCTCGGTTCCGACGGCCGGTTCCCTGTGCATCGCCACCCTCACGTGTCATTACACATGATGCGGATTTCTATATTCCTGTCATGGGTATAACTTCACAACGGCTGGACTGTTTGGGCTGAAAATTTGCATAACTATAGTTCCCCATTTTTAATAATTTCCGTGTAAATTTCGTTGTATGTTTTAATTACGGATCCTACGCAAACATCGTCTTTTCCCTGAGCTCGGACTTTTGATGTCGCTATTCCCGTTATTGGATATCTTATTAATGCATGATCCTTTTATTATGAAGATTTGGGAGGATTAAGATTAGATCCCTTTCCTTTTAATGGCCTATCAAGCTTGTCTCGGTCGTTACTGGTTAATTTTCGTGCTTGCCTTTTAGATATTGTCCTCGTTTTGCAGGAGTTTTAGTCATATCTCCGTCGTTTATGGGTAGTTTCCCCTGTAATTACTCTCATTGGGTCCGTTTGGGGGACATCTACATTTCCTATTATAAACACGACTTTGAATTTTGCATTAGTTCCTGAGGAATCCTTGTTCCGTGGTACTTCCATCCTTGGCTACGTGTGCAGACGTGGGAAAGTAGTTTCCGTGGAGGTTCTCTGATTGTTTTTATAGTCAAATCTTGGTCGATTGTCCTAATTCCCTTTTTAATATTTGCTATAAATTCCCCCAGGAATTCCGTCTCGTTGATGGTAAGCTTGAAGTATTTTTGCTATTTTTCTTTCTTTTGATTTATCGTGTATAGTCATAATAATTCGTAAAAATTCGTAAAAATTCGTGTCCTTCAGTTTTCTTATATCTACTTGTTGTATGAGGTTTTGTGATTTATCTGGCATATTTCCATAATGGGTTTCCATAGTGTGACCGTTATTTCTCCTACAGCGCACGCACAGATATGTGGGCGGAAATATGCGGCACATCTGGAAGTGCTGTTCAAGGTTAGCAGAGTGGGATCGCGGCCTCAGCGACTCAGGTGGAGCGCTGTGCCCTGAGCTTGACATTTGGGGGAGATCCCATATTTATGGATTGACACTCACAGCGGACTTCAAACAAGACTTGCAGGTGGAGCGGAACTGTAGGAGGAGCACGGACTCAGAGGGGGGGGAGCCCCCTTTGCAGAAGGAGGGACTCAGACCGGACAGGGGGGTACTCTAGTTGATTTCAGACTAAGGTCCCTGAAAGTATTTACAGGATATAAATAGGCAGGAGGGAAACACAGAAGGACCGGTCAGTCCGGCGCAGCCCGGCATGGAAATAAGTGGGGATTGTCAAACTGAATGAAGGACAAGAGCCCGGGAAATGGGAGGCAATGAACTAAACAAAAGCGGATCAAGTGCCAATATTGGCAAGTTAAGCAAATGAATGGATGAACAATATAGGCACTTGGCAAGGAATGAATGGTATGCTGCCGAGTGACAAGATGGCCAGAGAAAAGCAGAGGTCAGCGTGCGGCACCAATACAAGTCCACAAATAAGCGGGGTCAGTGCGGTGCCGACACAAGTCCGTGAAGGGACACGGAAATCAGCGCGGTGCTGACAAGTCTGCAACAGAGGGTGGTCCATCAGTGCCATCACAAACAAGGGCAGCATGATGGCCAGCAAGGTCAGAGGGTGTCAGGGCATGCTGCCGTCGCCGCCGCTGCCACCTCCTTTCCTTTCGTCTCACCCTCTCTTTCTCTCTTCTTTCCCTCTTCTCTTTTTCTATCTTTATACAGACGATCTCTCTCTTTCTCTCCTACACTTGTAGCACGGACGCACCCGACGCTGAGCACCCCGTAGGGGCACCACCACGCCGGATGCGCCGCACACTCCTACTTGTACTTCCCCTCCAACACTCGGGATCGACCGCGGAGCCACCTGCAGTAACCCGGCTTCGTCCGAAGGTGATGTGGCACTCCCACATGACCCGTTCACACATGTATATAAACTAAGCCGAAGCAGGACCGAAGAAGTAACCTTCTTCTCATTTCCCGCTTCAGGCAAGTACCCTAGTTTAGTCTAGCTTCCCACCCTAATAACAATACATTTCCCGCTTCAGCCTAAGAAGCCACACAGGGATGTAAGCCCAAGTAAGGGCTATCCACTATACGGTCTCACCGCCCCGCCACCGTCCGGGCCGCTAGCGCCGAGCGTTATGCCGCTACCTCTCCCTTCCTCGAGCCGTCCCTGACAGAGGGGAGTGTTGGCCTGACCACAGGGTGTAGAGGGCAACCAGGAGTGGCAGAGGTCCAGAGGGTGTGGAGGTGGGCAGAGGTACAGATGTGGGTGGAGGTCCGGATGCGGGCAGAAGTCCAGATGCGGGTGGAGGTCTGGATGCAGTGCATGGTTGATAGGGCAGGGGCCAGACATCGGATTGGGGGCTGGTTAGATTGGGTTTCAGGTCAGCGGATTCACCTATCGGCATTGATTTGCCACTGACGGAGCCCCAAGATTTGTTGGTCGTGACAGGCTGCAAGTATTATGGCTAGACTTATGGTGAAGCTTGAGCTATGCCTGCCAGGCCATTTGGAAGGATTGTGTAATCAGAAACATTTCATGACTTCTTGGGGTGTCCTCACCCTTTTCTTGGCATAGCCTGTGATGCAAGCTTCCAAAAAAACTGTGCAGTGGCTTCTAAGTATTTTTAAACATTCCAATAGGTACAAATGTACCTTCAAGGCTCAAATCATCTGTGACATATCCATTCTCTAGTATCTCACCAACATCAACTGTCTGAACAGATGAATGACCCCATATCTTCTGCACAATCTCCTTCAAAATTTTCTCTGGGGGGCAAGGGGTTGAAATTGTGGTCTGTTTGCAATTGAAGTATGCTGCATAACTAGCTCTTTCAACTATGCAAATGGACCCTAACTCTGAAGAATTCATTGGCAGTGGGAGCTGTTGTCAAAAGGGTGAGGCCACTAGAAAAGTCGGCCTGAAGGGTGAGGATTGATGCGTCAAATGTGCTAGAAGACACATTCTGCAAGGGGGAGGACATTCTGGTGATCTCTTGTATTAGCAGCTGCTAGGTCAAAATTGCATCCAATCCATCAAATTAATCAAGCTAAACAAACATAAAGGTAGCTGCCTGTATCCCCACCCTTTCACCCTCTCCTGCCCTGTTCAATACACCCTGTATACTGCAACATTGTAGACACAAACACCAAATAAAGTATTTGCCATTCTGCCCATCCCTGCCCATTATGTGGGCCACATCCATCCGGAACCATCCAGTAGCCGATTTCCACCCCAGCTCCTTGTTTGACTTGCCTGGAGTGTTCAGTGCCCTGGGTAGAAGTTCTAGGTGGCACCCAAGAAATTAGGTAGGTGACAATCAAAGCCGACATTTGTATTCTGAGAATGTCGGGGATTTGATAAAAATATTCTATGTGTGCACAATATTGCTCATGAGTCCTGCCCATGTGAGTTGATACAGGCCATCTGCCATGGGGAACATCTTTCAATGAGCCAAATGGTGGGATCTGCGGAAGGCCTGCATGCGGTCAGCCTAAAGTGCGGTGGCAGTGCTACCGCCATTTGACCACATTCATACCCCATCACTCATATATCATGCGACCACATGCATTCCGGGACAATGCCGGCTGGGGAGTGGCTAGTGTTGTGAGCACAGGGTACTGTCTTAGCTGAACTGGGAACACAATCTACCACTCATATTAACCAGCCGGCATTGCCCCATTCGGAGGGAATGCATGTGGTCGCGTGATAATTCAATATGGGTTACTGATCAAATTTCGCGAAATTCCAGTATAAAATTTCCCTGCATTATTGCAGGTTATGGGTTAGGCAACAGGAACCATACCGGGTCCCAGAAATTTCTACGGGTAATGGCAGGTCATGCGTTATCTTGGGCATGGCCTACCACGGTTTCAACTGCGATATTAATCATGCCTGTGATATGTGCGATATCAGCAACATTAATGGCATACTAGCGAAACACTTGGGAATTTCCACTAAGCAAGAAATATTGAAGAATATTTCATTCCTCAAAGATTGAGAAGAATACCGCTTATATACCACTGGAAGAGGCCACCGGCATCCCTCCATTTTCTGCGCATTCTGCCCCAGACCGAGGTTGGAACTCCTTGATTCCTGTGGCGTAAATAGCTACTCACGCCACGTAACCTACTACCAGCATAATAGTTCAAAAATCTCGATGCGATTCTGGAATACTTTGGTCCTAATTGGTCTACTTCCTGTCATTGCCGCTGATTTCCACCTTGGACAATGGATTCAGGTGGGGACCAATAAGGGGTGGCTTCAAGCATGGCAGGTTCTAATCCCATCAGCACAAGGTGAACCGAAGTTAGAAATGAAATTTGCTCCTATCTAACTAATGGTTTACCCAACAGCCCAGTGCCCTAAGATAAAGAGCGTGGTACATTCCTCCTCTGCCGCTGCCATAGCCTTCGGGGGGAGGCAGCCCTGGAGGCTCAAATTTGCGGTGGTATGGTTACGGTTTCTTATGACCTTATGCGGTGGAACAACACCAATGCCAGCGGAAAGTGTACCCAAATCAGTGAGGATCCAACTTTGGATGTGGGTGTGTGCTACTTGGATGATAGCACCTGGCTGTACTTAGACCTGGGCTATTGCTCCTCGGAGCTGTGTGCATAAGGGCCACTGGCCGAGCTGGATGCAGTGACCAATGCAGGGGTCGGGAGTCTTGGTCAGGGGGCTAGCTGTACGAAGCTTAAGAATTGTAGTGCCCTCGAAACGTTCATTGCTGCTTCAACAAACTTCGGAATTCAGAAATCGTTCTTCAAAGTATTTGCATGCCGGAAATGATGACATGATGTTGGTGTTGGAGCAAATTTGTAAGGCGATACCGCTATTTCCCTCTGTACATAAGGCCAGAAACGAACGAGTTAGATGGTTTAGGGATCCTCTTGTACATATCCACCTGCGTGACCGCTCGATTGTCGGCATCGCCCGACCTGAAGAGCTCACATTTTTTCACTCCACACACAACTTGATTCACCCTTGATCTAACCTCTCTCTGTTGATCGGGTTGGGACTGGCCACCCCAGTCTCCCTACTCCTTCCACGAAACACGTTTCAATATGATGAACCTACGGAGCCGACGGAATTACATGCCACTGGTAGTGATCTGTCTCTGCTAATACCTTAGCCCCGGAAACGCTAACGAAACAGGAACCCGTGCACATCAGAGGTTTGTCGGTGGATGCCACCGAGTTAGTCAAACCCAGAATAGCCAACACCGAAGCAGCGAAGAGTGCTGACGAGTACGGCGTAGCGCAAGTAGGAGACCCTGACGGATCTATGTGAGATCCGGTGAGTACTTCAGTTTACTTCGAGAGCGATATTCCGCTCGCGGACTTAGTTCTGTTATTCCCACCCGACCGGTCGAGGAAGCCCTCATAGCTGAGGATGGAAGCCATCCGATCACCAGTTTGTACAATGAGTGTTGGATCAATATTATCGAATCAAACTTTTGGACCACGGATTCAGCCGTGATACTGGTGAAATATATGAGCTAAAGGTAATTGCTATGAACGCCGAATGGGCAGGTTAATATGAAGAAAGCTGTGGAAGAGGCCATCTCTGCTCAAGTGAGCGCGAGAAGATAAATGTCCACCCTAAAATATGAGAACTCAGGCCAAAGTGTTGAGAAGGATGACAGAGTCTGGAGGGCACAAGGTCCAGACACGCTCGGAAGGAAAGCCATGAGTCACATGCCAAGGGCCTGTGCTTTAATTGTAAGCAGTCAGGGCAACTAGCAAAAGATTGTCCCATAACTAAGGATGGCCTGAATATAAGCGCTTCACACTGTGAATGTGGAGAATCTGGAAAGTATGATAAAGGAAGAACACACCGAGCCCATACTGTGGTGGTGGTGGTGGTGGTGGTATTTCATTTTTAACTATGCGTGCGTGCCGTAGGCATATGACGGAGCGGCCAGTGGAATACAACACTAGTAGTACCAATTAGAAAAGCCCAGAATCTTCCAATGCCAGCTCTCTGACTGCCAACTATTCAGTTCCCCATCTATTCACCCATTACTATCTCTACCTGCAGTTGCTGGTTCCAATGCTCTGCTCAGTGGCAAGTGTTAGAAACCACCTCCGCCTAATGCAGGCATTGAGTTCATGTACAACGGGACTGAGCAACAACATCGCTAGTCCATCTTTTTGTCTTATAGGTTACGAGCCCCATTCACTAAACTTCATCCTATCTTGTGAACTCCATATCCCCTTCCTTCCCAATGTCCAACACCTCTGCAACCGCTAGTGCAGCCACCAGTTCCCCATCTCCCCAGACAGCTCCCGGTTCCCCATTAAAGTCTTAGACAATGAGGGCAAGAATTACCGTATGTGGGCATCTAGAATGAAGTTGATACTTCAGATAGGAGAGGTTTGGGAGGTCATGCAAGACATGTCAACAGGCAGCGTTGCCATGCCAATGCAAACAGGTCAAGACCTCACAGACTGGTTGAAGAAGGATATGAAGGCATTAACGTATATCAAGTGCTATATAGGTGAGGAACCTTGTAACACATGGGCATTTAGTGTAATGGTAACACACTCTAGGTACCTATGCAGGGCTCTGCGGTTTGACTCCCAGAATGTCCATATTTTATGCATTAAGGTTCCTCAGACCATGTGTACAAATTCCAACAGCAAGTGCCAGGGAGTTAAGAAAAGGGGGTTAGTTGTTCAGTCCGATTGTGGCCAGCTCCCACAGTCACGTGAAGCCAAAGCCAGTTAGCCTCAGTATAGCCACCAAGCCACCTGCTGTCATCCCTGCATGACTGCAATAGCAACTCAGAGGGCAAGCACAGCAATGCCTGTGCAAAGACATTTTGGGATTTAATCAAGTACAAGATTAAATGAGACTTGTGTGCTTGTCATGACCCAGCACTTTCCATGGTCAGGCAGTCACTCCCCAGCCTTTTCCCACCTCCACTTCAACCCTGTCTACTCTGCTCCCTGCCTGATGCCCATTACCCATCCCCACCCTATGTACCCTTTTCACAGCTGGAAACAGGCCTATCATATCAGCAAAATATTGTTATGCTCCTGAGTGCTTGTCAGGGCAACCACACCTGACCATACAACCCCAGAACACCTTCCCTGACCTCCCCCCACTTCCCTTATCCTCCCATCTTTACACACCTCTCACAACTACAGCCCGCATGCAAACCCGTGGGAAAAATCACGTGGGTCAAGGCAAGCAACTCGCCTTAACCCATGTGACACCTTTTCCACATTGCAGGAACATGCTTGGCTTCTGCCCATAGTCACATTACAAACTGTACAGTACATTTCCCTTTTATAGCAGCCAAGCGGGGAATAGGGAAACTTACCCTTCTTCTCAACTCAATCCCTGCTTAGGCAAGTTGTAGCTACCTTCCATAATACATGACAACTCAATCCCCACTTAGTGAGTTTGAGGAGCTTGGGATAGGATCCAGCACCTGGCTGCCTGGGACACCACAAGTGTCCAGCTCTGAGGTAGGGCCACCCCCAGACAGAGGCTGGGCCCTGACAGCAGAAGAAGGGTTCAACCTACGTCCACACCCCCTGATGTCACTAGAAGAACAGATATTAGAGCTGACCCGCCAGCTCCAAGACCTCCAGACCCAGCTGGCTACCCAAAGGCAGCCTGCCCCCCCCCCTGCTGCTGCTCCCGCTCCGACTCGCAAGCCACCCAAAGTAGCTACCCCCACTCCCTTCTCCAGGTCGCAAGATGACCTGGACCGCTTCAAGGCAGAATGCAGGCTCTACATGAGCATGCACCATGCTGAGTTCCCAGATGAATACAGCCAAGTTCTGTTCATCCTGTCGTACATGAAGGGAGGTGCTGCTGGCCCATGGGCTACCCAGCGCATCAACTCCCTCCTTGCCCCCGGTGCCCCAAGGATCGCTTTCGATGACTTCACCCAAGAACTAGACTCCATGTTTGCTGACCCCAACCATCAGGCCACAGCTTGGCAGAAGCTGGCCTCACTCCGGCAAGGCAGCAAGTTGGTGGACAAACTGATCCAGCAGTTTGAGCTCCACGGACCTGTGTCACGGATGGGAGATGTTGCCCTGTGTCAGAGTACACCCACTTCCGGCCACTTCCAGCCTACTTACCATCATGATCTGATTCCATGATCTATGATCGCCCAGATTCCATGATCCATGATCCCTGTACAGCCTTATGATCTGATCCCACTCCAAGATCCATGTTCCATGATCCGTGATCCAACACAGCCAGACAAACCTGGATCATTGATTGTTGGTATGTACAGTGCCTCGTAGATTAGCTGTGTGTGTGGGCTACAGTATATTACACCCTGAGTAGCGAGCAGGAAGACCAGCTTTCTTCTCTCATTTCCCCTTGCTGCTCAGCTGGAGCCTGTGTCGCCTAGCACACCTCGCAGTTCTCCTATTGAGACTGACCCAGACCTTCCTAGTCTTACCTCCACTTCCACTGGATCCCTTGACCTTAGCTCCGAGCAGCTCGGTATCCTGACACCCTGGTGGACCGTTTCGAGTAGGCCCTCCACCCACACCTCCGAGAGAGCATCTACCACCTCCACCCGATGCCTGCAACCTGGGCCGAATGGAAGCATGAGGCCTCCGTCCTTGACAACCAGTGGCAACGTTTCCAAGCCACCCAACCTCACACCATGGTGGCAAAACCCTCCCCATTCCTCTCTTGCCCCACCCCTTGTCAGGGACATGTCTGGGGTAGAGGGGGTCCGGATGTATCACCCGGCAGAGAGGCCCTCACAGGGTGTGAACTGGGCATGCGTACTGTCAGGTCTGGGAAGGGACGGCAGTCCCTGGCCACTCAGACTGAAGTGGAGAATGTGAGAAGAAGGTTACTTCTTCGGTTCCCACTTCAGGTACATTTATGTACATGCGGTTTGAGTCATATGACGAGTGCCACATCATCCTCAGAGACAGCCACAGCCATCCGGGTGTCCCCATGGGGGATCCCGAGAGTGTCCGCTGCGTGCGCGCATGCTGGGCACAGTGGGAAGCTGTCCAGGGTGTGTGGGCCGGATGGGTCAATGGTACATTGATACAGAGGAAAGTGGTCCGTGTAGATAGAAGGAATAAACAGAAAGAGAAAGATGGGAAGAATGAAATAAAGAAAGGAGAAGAAAGAGGGAGAGAGGGAGGAGGGGGGAAGGAGAGGGATGGACAGCAGGGAGCGGGTGTGGTGTGGCCGGGTGGGTCCGGGTGGACCCGGGTCAGGTGGGTGTGCCCTGACACCCCTCCCCTGGCACCGTCTACCACTGCTCCTGCTGCGACCCCAAAGCCAGACCCTCAGGCAATCGATCTGGACTGCACATGCTCCCCCTGCACTGAGCAGAGACACAGTGGGCTCTGTTTCAACTGCCACCAACTGGGGCACATAGCCTGTGACTGCCCAAGGCTGAGACCCCGCCAGATCTGTTGGGGCCCTCCAAGAAGAAGGCTCCAGAACCCCATCCCAGCTGGCCCCAGAGGACCTTCGAGCGATCATTGACTCGTTGAGAGGCCATCACGCAGTGGAGGCCCCTCCCCCAGAACTGGAGAAGATCCAATAGGGGATTTTCTAGAGGGCGACCAGTGAAGAGTGTGCCCCAGTCGCCTGATGAGAGCAATGTACCCACCTGTAAATACCGCTGTAGGAGAAATAATGGTCACACTATGGAAACCCATTATGGAAACATGCCAGATAAATTGCAAAACCTCATACGACAAGTAGATATGAGAAAATAGAAGGACCTGAATTTTAACGAATTTTTACGAATTTTTACGAATTATTATGACTATACACGATAAATCAAAAGAAAGAAAAATAGCAAAAATACTTCAAGCTTACCATCAACGAGACGGAATTCTCGGGGGAATTTATAGCAAATATTAAACCAAGAATTAGGACAATCGACCAAGATTTGACTATGAAAACAATCAGAGAACCTCCACGGAAACTACTTTCCCACGTCCTGTTAGATACTGATCCGGGGTCGGGCACCGAAGGTCGCCGATGCGGACCGCTAAGGGCCGCGATGGCCGCGATGCCTCAGACAAGGCCCGAGGGTAGGGCATTTGGCCTCAGCAACTCTAAAGGGAGTGCTGTGCCCCCTAGTTGTCTCTTGGCCCTCATTTCGAACTTACTGGGGCTGCCTTGTTGGGGTCAGGGCTTGGGGTCATGGTCAAGTCGATATTAGAGCTAAGGTACAATAAAGTATCATACAGGATATATATAGGAAGAAGAAATGAATGGAAGCGGACCCGGGCCGGAGGCCGAAGGGTCCGGAAGCAAACAAGAAGAAGGAGCGGGGTTGGCTGCATAGCGGCCGGCAATGACCGAGGGTCAAAACAAACAATAATAGATAAATAAAGGAAAGAGCGTAGGGCTGCGATAGCGGCGATGGTATCGTAGCAGCGCTGGACTCGGAGTTGGGCCGGAGTCGGGCATGGGGATGATAGCGGCCCTGTAGGGGCCAAGTGGGCGGGGTAGGGGAGTTGCGCTGGGCACGGTGCCGGAGGCGGACTCAGGGTGGGGAGGTTGGTGCAGCAGCGGGGGAGTCGGCCAAGTGTAGGGGAGCCTAGGGGCAAGCGGGGAAGTGAGCAGGGAGTCCTCAGGGAGGATAGGGCTGAGGTTGGGGCTCGCGCTCACGCTCGCATAGCGGGAACGGGCTCGGGTGGCATCGGGACGGGCGGCTAACGGGCCGGAATGCACGGCCGTGACACGTCCACACATGTAGCCAAGGATGGAAGTACCACGGAACAAGGATTCCTCAGGAACTAATGCAAAATTCAAAGTCGTGTCTATAATAGGAAATGTAGATGTCCCCCAAACGGACCCAATGAAAGTAATCACAGGGGAAACTACCCATAAACGATGGAGATATGACTAAAACTCCTGCAAAATGAGGACAACGTCTAAAAGGCAAGCGCGAAGAATAACCAGTAACCACCGAGACAAGCTTGATAGCCCATTAGAAAGGAAGGGATCTAAATCTTAATCCTCCCAAATTTTCATAATAAAAGGATCATGCATTAATGTGATATCCAATAATGGGAATAGCGACATCAAAAGTCCGAGCTCAGGGAAAAGACAATGTTTGCATAGGATCCATAATTAAAACATACAACGAAATTTACACGGAAATTATGAAAAATGGGGAACTATAGTTATGCAAATTTTCAGCCCAAACGGTCCAGCCGTTGTGAAGTTATACCCATGACAGGAATATAGAAATCCGCATCATGTTTAATGACACGTGAGGGTGGCGATGTGCAGGGAACCGGCCGTCGGAACCGAGATCCGCAGATTGCGAAGACCAATTTCCGTCCAAATAAGGAAGAGCCCGGTCAAAACAAAGCACGGAAAGTGCAAAACAACCTTAGATCATGAGGGAAAAATCTGAAATAAATCACAGAAGCCCATATGAAAGAAATAAAAACCCGTGCATATCATAAATCCCGAACAATTAAACGGAAACGGTGCCCGCATACGAATGACTATGGGAATGATGCATGTGATTACCGAATGTGCACATGAACTTTTGCTAACTCAACGAATACCAGGAAATAGGACACAACCTTAGTACCATTGGAAAGGTGGGAATAAATGAAAATTTATGATACTAAGAACGTGAGAAAACATCCAGAAATGAATGAGATACAAGGACATGAAGTTAGAAACCTGAAAACACACAGGAAAACAGCTTCAAGAGGTCCAGAGTCCTAAATAAAATACATAAAAATATGATATCTTCAAGGACGACCTACTATAACAACGAACAATACATATGGAGGATTAGGATGTGATAATACAAAGGGGAATCAGGGAATATGAATGAAATTCACGAAAACCACTAAACTATGACGGACCATGGCAGGAATTTTAGGGAACGATATTCTAATGAGGTGGAGGGCTATAACACATTCATTTGAGTAATTCTTGACTACTAGCAACTTTTTCTTTCAGTTTTAAACCTGAATAATTCACTCATTTACCATTTCAGTCTCATTTTAACTAAATGTCACTAAATAAAAATGGAATAAATCAGCTGAAGGTCTCAGCACAGCCGTACGCATAGTAATGCGAAGTTTGAATTCAGAATCATCGAGTCATAGCAAATTTAATGGTATATATAGGGAATTTGAAATAGGTAACTGCGACAAATGCAGCGCAGCCAAGTTCTAATTAACCATTAAAATAGTTAGGTGAGGGAGGACAATAAGGATTCTAGGTGCAGTCTGACCTCAGTAGAACCGCAGTTCAGTGCAGCAAAAGCACAGTAGAACTATAGTGTGAAAATTTCATTTTTTATTTAGTTTGAGAAAAATACACTGTAAATAAATCCTGTAAATAGAAGGTAGAGCATGAAAAAGGAAGGCGACCCAAGGAGTATAAAAGGGAGACCCTTTCTGCGACTTTTCACCCCCTCAGAGAAGTAAGAAAATCGTTTGCTTCCGGACCCTTCGGCCTTCGGCCTGGGTCCGCTTCCATTCATTCTTTCTCCCTATATATATCCTGTATGATACTTTATTGTACCTTAGCTCTAATATCGATTTGACCATGACCTCTAAGTCCTGACCCCAGCAAGGCAACCCCAGTAAGTCTGAAATGAGGGCCAAGAGACAGCTAGGGGGCACAGTGCTCCTTTAGAGTCACTGAGGCCAAATGCCCTACCCTTGGGCCTTGTTCCCAGCATCACAGCCATCACAGCCTATAGCGGCCCGCAACAGCGACCCTCGGTGCCGACCCCGGACCAGTGTCTAACAAGTGGTTTTCATGGATTTCGTTCATCTTCCCTGATTCCCCTTTGTATATTTTTATGTATTTTATTTAGGGCTCTGGACCTCTTGAAGCTGTCTTCCCATGTGTTTTCAGGTTTCTAACTTCATGTCCTTGTATCTCATTCATTTCTAGATAGTTTTTCACGTTCTTGGTATCATAAATTTTCATTTATTCCCACCTTTCCAATGGTACTAAAGTTGTGTTCTATTTCCTGGTATTCGTCGAGTTAGCAAAAGTTCGCATGCACATTCAGTAATCATGTGCATCGTTCCCATAGTCGTTTGTATGCACGCACCATTTCTGTTTCATTGTTCGGGATTTATGGTATGCATGGGTGTTTGTATCCTTCATATGGGCTTCCGTGATTTATTTCAGATTTTTCCCTCATAATCTAAGGTTGTTTTGCACTTTCCATGGTTTGTTTTGACTGGGCTCTTCCTTATTTGGATGGAAATTGGTCTTTGTGATCTGCCAAAGTGCGGATCTCGGTTCCGACAGCCGGTTCCCTTCACATTGCCACCCTCACGTGTCATTAAACATGATGCGGATTTCTATATTCCCATCATTGGTATAACTTTACAACGGCTGGACCGTTTGGGCTGAAAATTTGCGTAACTATAGTTTCCTATTTTTCATAATTTCCGTGTAAATTTCGTTGTATGTTTTAATTATGGATCCTACGTAATCATTGTCTTTTCCCTGAGCTCGGACTTTTGATGTCACTATTCCCATTATTGGATATCTCATTAATGCGTGATCCTTTTATTATGAAAATTTGGGTGGATTAAGATTAGATCCCTTCCTTTCTAATGAACCATCAATCTCGTCTCGGTCGTTACTGGTTATTCTTCGTGCTTGCTTTTTAAACGTTGTCCTCATTTTGCAGGAGTTTTAGTCATATCTCCATCGTTTATGGGTAGTCTTCCCTGTAATCACTTTCATTGGGTACGTTTGGGGGACATCTACATTTCCTATTATAAACACGACTTTGAATTTTGCATTAGTTCCTGAGGGATCCTTGTTCTGTGGTACTTCCATCCTTGGCTACATGTGCAGACATGGGAAAGTAGTTTCCATGGAGGTTCTCTGATTGTTTTTATTGTCAAATCTTGGTCGATTGTCCTAATTCTTTGTTTAATATTTGCTATAAATTTCCCCGAGAATTCCGTCTTGTTGGTGCTAAGCTTGAAGTATTTTTGCTAATTTCCTTTCTTTCAATTTATCATGTATAGTCGTAATAATTCGTAAAAGTTCATTAAAATTCAGGTCCTTCTATTTTCTCATATCTACTTGTCGTATGGGGTTTTGTGATTTATCTGGCATATTTCAATAATGGGTTTCCATAGTGTGACCATTATTTCTCCTATAGCATGTTGTGGGCGGGTCAATAATACATAGGTATGGGGAAAGGTCGTCCGTGTAGATAAAGATAGAACAAAGAACAAAGGAATAAAAGAACAAAAGGATAGAAAGAAGAACAAGAGTTGAGGAACCGTGATGAAGGGTGGGGAGTAGAGGTGAGCGGGATACTGGGTCAGGGCGGGTGGAGCCGGGTCAGGCGGGTGTGCCCTGACAATGTTCCAGTGCTGCTTTTGCCTCCTCTTGCATCTTCATCATCCTAGATGAGAAGGCATTGGCAGCTTCCACCTCGGACGTATGTGTGGGCTCTGTCCCCATCCTGGGGTGCTGTCCAGTGTCGAGTTCAAAGGGAGTCCAGCAGGTGGAGTGGACTCGGTTGTTGTTGAACTCTGCTAGCAGGAGCCAATCCACCCAGTCGTCTTGGCGGTG